TTGATCAGCTGGCTCCAGTCGATTTTGTGGCGATGTCCTTTAAACTTTTTCTTGAAATAAACCTTTAAAAAGACTTTTTTTTTAAAAGTCAAACCATAATTCATGCCGAACAATTTTGTTTTTCAGAACGGATGAAGCCGACTCTCGTACTTACCTGAGGCTGTCTTGGTCCTACCCGAAGGATTGCGTGTCAGGACAGTACGTTTGTGAAGTCATGGCGACCGACGCACAAGGAAACCCTCTTTTCTTCAACAGCAGCGCTACTGTGACGGTGCAGGAACCTTCTCGAGAGCTGCTGGTGGAGAAAATTCAAGCTCTGGACACTCGACTGGAGCAGCAGATTCTCCGTAACCACGGGAATTTCCCCAGGCTCACCAGCTGTGACGATCTCAGCATTAAGAATGGGTCGGCGGTCGTGACTTTGGACCCTTTAGACAACTTGGGAAAAGTCGACGTCGTTTGTGAGTTCAACGAGGAAGGAAAATCGTGGACGGTATTGCAGAACCGCTTTGATGGGAGCGTGGATTTCTACAGAAGCTTTCAAGACTACGAAAACGGTTTCGGAAACATGACAGGAGAATTCTGGATGGGTTTGCAAACGTTGAGGCGTTTGGTCCAAACTGGTTATTTTGATCTGGAAATTGACATGGTCAGCAATGCGGGCGAACACTACAACAGAACCTACTCCAACTTCACTATCGGCCCAGGCCCGGGCTACGCTCTCAGTGTCAGTGGTTATGACGACAAGAACAGAGGTTTGTCCTACAATTCTGGCCGAGACTTCACCGCTTACGACAACAATACTGGGTGTGCCAGAGATTACCACGGCGGGTTTTGGTATAGTGGGTGCACTCAAGTCAACCTGAACGGCAGATGGGGTGTGCCAGGTCAGGAGAGTATTTCCTGGTCTGAGATCCACAGCTTTGACAATTTTTGGATGACAGAGACAACTATGAAATTCAGACCAAGCCAGTAAACATCTATAGACTTGTTTTATAATATCCAAGACTGTGCACTCTGACGTAATTCCGGTCCATTTTGGGATGTACCATTTCACTCTATTTGGAAACCGAATGAACGTCAAGGAGGAAAGGTTGCCCGCGCACTCGACTACAGCAAGACTGGTGTTTTGTCCTTTAAGTGTTGCACTTGTCCTTAGGAAATTTTGAGCACCCATCTTGCACACTAGCGCAGGGAAGTTTTTAATAAAGAGCAAAAAGCGATGGCCATGACAATGTCTAAGGATATTACAATTCAAGTCTATAGTGGGGCCATGTTTTCTATAAAACACTGAGAACGACAAGAGGGAACACCCATGAGAGAAATAGTTCGGTTTCAATTATTCTTAAAGGAATGTAACGGATTTCAACAGATTCTGATGAAACATTCTAAACCCGTTTAAAAACTCTCTGAAGTTTACGATTTGAAAACAGGTCAGATTCATTCAGAGTCACATCAGAAACATTGGTTCGTAGAGTTACATGACGACTTCAAAACACAAAGCAAGAACACTAAATAAAACGGACTTGTAAAGCTTCTAACTCTGACTGACCTCGTCAGTTACTTGCCATTGATGACATAGACAGACACCTTAGTGTACTCCACAACAGATGTCCTTATACACAAAGGAAATGTCATGTAAGTTAAAAATCCAAAGCCTTTTATTTTATGACCTTCCTTCCTCCAACCAGCATATTATGCATCATGTTTTGTAGGGTGATTTGTTATTGTTAGCCCAGCGGTTTGTTTGGGGTTTATTTTTGGGGGGGAGTGTTTCTTTTTTTTT